ATCCCACAATGGAATTGCTGGAACATATGATGATTCTATTTTGAAGAATTTACATATTGTAATCATACCCCTTCCAATGTGCCATTCACTCTACAGTGGGAATGGTTCCCTTCTATTGACATGCTTTTGGGTACTTACCACTTGCCTCTTTTAATTATAGCCATTCTTAGTTGGGTGAGGTGATGTCCCACTGTGGGTTTCCTTTGCATTTCTCTGATGATTACTTGTGTCGAATACTTTTTTTTGTTTTGTTTACCTGCTGACCATTTATATCACTTCTTTTCATGTATCTATTTAAATCATTGCCTATTGTCTTAGTCAGGGTTACTATCACTGTGATAAAACACCATGACCAAAAGCAACTTGAAGGGAGTCAGAACAGGAACTCAAACAAGGCAGGAACCTAGAGGCTAGAGCTGATGCAGAGGCCATGGAGGGGTCCTGCTCACTAGCTTGCTTCCCTTTGGCTTGCTCAGTCTGCTTTCCCACAGAATCTAGAACCACCAGCCCAAGGAGGGCACCACCCACAATGGGTGGTGGGGGTGGGGGTGGTGCCATGCCTCCCCTCCCCCTCCCCTATCAATCACTAATTTAATAAATGCCTTAAGTCAGGGTCTTGCGCTTGTTAGGCAAGGGTTCTGTTCATCACCCTGCTTCCCTAGCCCTTTAGTAAGTAGTTATACCCCCGTTATGGGGATACATTGTCACTCCAAGCATCTCTTTCTGCTTATAAGGCCTATATCTAACAAAGTTCTGTAACTAGATCTCTTACATCCATGCTGCGGGTATCTTTATAATTTTGAAATGTTTTCAAAATTTTATTATGCCTTTTTTGAATCTCAAGATAGATCAAGTGTTTATTATGACAAGGTTTTGGTAGCTAATTTCCTTAACAGTGAGACCTTGGAGTGGGGAGGAAGCTCAGCGGTAGAGCCTTTGCTCGCCATAATGACTGTGAATCACGATAGATAAGTAAATAAATAATGCCGACCCTTTTTCAGATTTGTCTAAAGGCGCCATCGGGTCCTGACTAGCGGAGCCCTCTTTGGGGTAAGTTTTGGGAGGTCTCAGTGTAAAATCCTGGTTCTTGAAAAGGACAAGGTACCTGAAGCATTTCATTAATTATCTTTTATCAATAAAAAAATCAGGCGTCAGATATCAGGGTAAGAACCTGAAAGATCAGAGAAGCAGAGGAGCCGCCATCAGGGACTTCCTACCTCTTCCATTCCTTCCTCCAAAAAAAAAAAAAAATCCTCTCTCAACCCTGTCTTATTACTCCCTATCTGTCCACAGTCCTCCAAACCTCTATGGTTAGTTTTGGTCTGCTAGTGGCTAGCTCCACCCTCTGACTCAAAGCAAACTTTATTTTCAGAATGAAATCAAAATATCACACAACAGGTACAGCACAGCTGCGGTTTCCTGACAACCCATCCACATCCCCATCCTAAACCATCTGACCCTCCCTCCAAGGGACATGGGGGGAGGGGGGCAGCAGGAGCATGGAAGTCAAAGGACAGCTTTGTGGAGTCGTTTCTCAACTTCCACCCTTAAATGGCACCCAGGGAACTGAACTAGCGTCCTTAATGCTTTAACCCCTGAGATATTTCGCCCGCCCTGCCCTAGCCACCTAACGCCAGTCTTGTTAGGCTCCACCGGTCCCGCCTCCCCAGCAACCAGCAACCCTCCTTCCCCCAAGCCACTGTCCCTCCCATCCCTCCCCAAGGGACACTCTCCCCAGCTTCCACTCTTTTCCCTTAAGTCACCACCCAAAAGCCCCGTACGTGGCCGCCAGGGCTCAGCGGGTCGGAGGCGGCTTCTCCTGAAGTGTTCAAATAGGTGACCCTGGGAGTTGGGGCGGGGCCTCAGATCGAACAGGTCTGGGCTGACCCGAGGAGCGTGTTGCGGCTGGCGGGGTGACTGCCTGTGGGTGTTGCACAGACCGGAGCTCCAGGGCAGGACATGAGCTCCAGGACCGCCCCGCGGCTGATGACGCTCCAGAGACACCTCGGCTGGCCGCAGGTAAGGAGTTGGCCTGCACCCTCAGAATTCCTGCCTCATGTGTAAGGGACATGGAGGGAGCCAAGTGTGGGAGGTTGGGGGTGAGGGGGGTGCTCCTAGAAAACCCACTGAACCAGAGGCGCAGGAGAACTGAGTTCTGGGAAGCTAAGACCACAGAGCAGCTGAAACTGAAAGGCTTATACAAAGGAGAGAGGGTGCTACTCAGGTATGGGCAATGGAGGGCGCAGGTCAGCTTTGTTTAGCGCTTGGCACCTCATCCTGCAGCTCAGCAATTCTGCCTGCCCCTGGGCAGAAGGGTTGTTTGCTCTCCTCACAAGACAATCGAAGACTCAGTTAGGCCTGCCCATGCAGGCCCCACGGAGATCACGTGGACTCTCTCTACTCAGACTGGTGCCATGGCTATGGAGAACAGCCCACTAACCACTCACGTGCTAGACACTGCCTCAGGGCTCCCTGCCCAAGGCCTCTGCCTTCGGTTGTCTCGTCTGGAGGCCCCTGGCCAGCAGTGGATGGAGCTGAGGACAAGGTAGGAGGCCATTTCTGGACTGGGATCCGTGAGTGCCTACTCCAGTAGCTGTGTCCTTCCCGGGTTCCACTTGGGAACGATCTTAGGCAGCGGAACTGAGGTGGCGCAGCGTGACTGGGGGAACACTGAGTGGGATTGAGACTGAGGTGGGCACTGGGGGCTGGAAGGCAGAACTGACTGCTGCTCTATTGACAGATGAGGCTCAGGAGTCAATAAACAGGGGTATAAGTGACAATAACATTTCATCAGATATGCATGCCTGGGACAGTGTCGTGGAATTGTCTGAGACAGCTCTGTAAAGCCCTTGCCTGTCAGATTCAGCCCAATGGGCCTGCTGGGAGGGGAGCCACGTAGAGAGGACTGGTAGGAAAAAAGGCCGCCATCACCTTGTACCAGACTGGATGCCGAGTGCTGTCTTTTTCTTTTCTAGTCTCAATAGCTGTGAACTAGTAGTGTGATCTACCTCTTTTACAGAAAGATACAGGGTTGAGGAGGTAAAAGCTAAGACTCCACTCTGGCCCTGTAGTGGGCCTTCAACCTCAGTGAGCCAGGCTCGAGCCCTGCCCCTGACCATGCCCCTGGAACGTGCTCTGTGGGGAGGCCGGGATCTTCCTGTCTCAGTGTTAGCTAGCCTACGCTGGCAGAGCTGTGGCCTTGAGAGCAGAGCCTATTAAGGGAGACAGGCTCACCCATCTCCTCCCTTCTGACCTGTGGGAACAAGGTGTGGCTCATCACCTCCTAATTCCTAAAAGCTGGAGAGGTTTGTCTTTTGTTTCTCTGCTTTATGATTTCCTGAATAGGCAGTGTGGCCATACCCTTAGAAATCGTCCCCCGTCTGTGCACCCTGAGTCCCACTGCGGGGATCATCTGAGGTCAATTGGCTCGTGGAGCAGGAAAGCTAGTGGAGGGTGGTTTCTCAGTTCTTCCCTTCGTCTCTTCCCAGCTACACAAACCTGGATGGCCGCTGTCCTGGGCTCCTGACACCAGGCCAGATAAAACCAGGCACCTACAAGCTGTTCTTCGACACGGAGAGCTACTGGAAGGAGAGGGGTCAGGAGAGCTTTTACCCGTATGTAGAGGTGAGGGCCATGGATGGGTGGAGCAGCTGGGCCCTGACTCACTTTGACCACAACCTCCTCCAGGCCAGGGATAGGCCGGCCCCACCTCTCCCAGGGTGGTAGCAAGTGAGTGAACACACCCTCCTTTGAGCTCTCAGAAGGTGTCCAGGGACCTGAGGCACCACTGTGCTTCATTGATGATGCGGGAGAGGCCAGGCTGCGAGTGTCTCATCCTTCTTTGTAGACAGGTTCTCATCTGAGCCCAGACTCCAGAGCACTGGGTGTGTTCCCTCTGCATCACAGACACAACTTAAAGGCGAATGATTTATTTCGGCTCGTTCTTTCCGCCCACGATTGCTCGGCTCCGTGCGCTCACCGTGGCATGGGGTCAAATGGAACAGGAGAACTGTCACCTCATGGTAGACAACAGCAGAGAGGAACACAAGGAAAGACACAGATCCCTAGGACACTGCCCAGAGCCCTTCCTCCAGCAGGGCCCACCTCTAGGTTTATTACCTACCAACAAGGCCATCACACGATGGATCCAGTCAATCACAAGAGATTAACCAATTGATTAGATCAGAGTCCTCAGGATCAAATCGCATCCCCCAAAGCCCACCAACCAGCAACCGAGACCGCTCTATCTCCTCTTAGAAACACTTCAAACCATAACATCGGGCTTTTACCTAAGTGTCTCCCACTTGTAGGCAGCCACCAAAGCACCTCCTGCTCATCTGGAAGGCCCAGGAGCTATTGCAGGAAGGACTCACCATCTTCAGTGTCTTCTCTCTTCTCCTAGGTTGTTTTCACTATTGCACAGGAGACCCAGAAGTTCCATGTGCCTCTGCTGCTGAGCCCATGGTCCTACACCACCTACCGGGGGAGTTAGAGTGGCGCATTACCCGAGGAAAGCCGTCTGTCCGACTGGCCCTTTCCCTGACTTAGCCACCTACAGTCAACGGCATGGGCTTTGTCCCCATGAAGGGACGTGAAGTTGCTGCTTGCTGAAGAGATCCTAGCTGCCCTGGAGTTTCCTAGTGGGCGGCTGTGACTTGGGTGTCAATAAAGTGAGTTCCAACACCTGCAAAGCTGAACCTATCACTGGGACAGGGGCATTCAGCCAAGATCTGCTAGCACTGCCCCTGCTCCAAGGATCTTAGTTTCTCTTCCTGTTGCTGTGATAAAATACTTGGACACAAGCAGTTTGAGAAAGGGTTTTCTTCTGGCTCAGTTCAAGTTACAGTTCTCTGAGGCAGGGAAGTTACAGTGAAGGAAGACTGAGTGTCGGAGCTGGACACATTGTGGCTACAGTCAAGAAGCAGAGAGCAGTGTCAGGCAGTGGTGGCAGGTGCCTTTAATCCCAGTGCTTGGGAAGCAAAGGGAGGTGGATCTCTGAGTTCAAGGTCAACCTGGTCAACAGAGTTTCAAGACTGCCAGGGCTACACAGAGAAACTCTGTCTTGAGAAAACAAAGGAGGAGGAGAAAGAAGAAAAGAAGAGGAGGAGAGAGAGGAGGAGAAGAGTGTGCAGCTAATGCTCAGCTGCTTTCTCCACTTTATACAGTTCGGGATCCTGTGCCCAGGGATGGTCCTTCCCATAATTAATATGTGTAGTGAGGAGCACGGGGGCCCTTTGTTCCGTCCCGCCCAGCTAGCTTAACCCCTGAAATAACCACACAGAACTCGCACTAATTAAATTACTGGTTGGCCCATAAGCTCTAGCCTCTTATTGGCTAACTCTCACATCTTGATTTAACCCATTTCTAGTAATCTTTATATCACCACAAGGTCGTGGCTAACAAGGGGAGATTCTATCCTACATCCATCTCAGGCCAGAGATTCATGGCATCTGCCACACTCCCCTTCTTCCCAGAATTCTGTTCTGTCTTCCCTGCCTACCTGAGTTCTGCCCTATCAACTAGGCCAAGGCAGTTTCTTTAATAACCAATGAAAGCAACACAAATACAGAAGCACCTCCTAAACCAAATAAGTGTCTTTCCGTATCAGTTAGCATAAGCTAGCCCCCACAGGCATGCCCAGAGGCCTTTCTCTCAGGTCTTTCTAAATTTGGTCAAGTTGGCAACACCAACCATCACACCAGGTGATCAAAGAGGCCTCTGAGAAGAGGTGGGCATGGTACAGATAGGGAAGCAGATCAGCAGCGAGACTCTGTGAAGAGCCCTGCAGGGAGTTCTCCACAGACAAGACAACAGAGGGGAAATGTGGGAAAATCTTTATTGCTAATGAAACCTTAAAAAAAAAAAAACTTGCTCTTTTTGGTACAGAAGAAATATCCGCCGGGATTCACTGGAAAGGGGACAATGTATTCATGAGTCCAGCCAGACCGTAGCCCAGCATCCACCTAATCACAGCCATCGCCAGAGCTTGAATCCCACATCCTTCAGGGCCTCGTGTGTGCAGTATGAGTCCCTACTAAGGCCTGTGGGGACAGGGCAGTGTCTGGAAGGGAAGGAGTCCATCTAGGTCTGGGTACTGTGTCAGGCCTGCTGTGGTCCACAGAGGTTCAGGTACCACTCCTTGCAGGGGCGAGGAGAAAGCAAGCCCAGCAGCATGGTGTAAGTGAAAAGTAAACGTTCGTCAACAGTTTGCCAGCCAGTGCTAGCACCTTTACAGATGCTCATGTAGCTAGCAGAAGGGAGGAAAGCCGAGAGGATGAACTTAGGGCAGAACTGAGACCTGCATGGCTTAGTAGTTCCTCACCAGACACTTGACCAGGCAGGCTACCCTCAAACTCCTAGAGACCCACCTGTTTCTGCCTCCCAAGTGCTGAGATCAGAGGTGTGTGCCACCACCCCTGACATCAAACCACACCTTACTCCTTTCCCCTAGTAGGCACAGCCTCTCCTGACTCCTCAGTGACTTTGTGCCTTCTCTAAGGCCTGCCTTGGGAAGGACCCGAGTCATCCTCATTTGTCACAAGAGTCACGATCTGAGGTCACAGTGCTGGTGCTAACGTTCAAATGCCTTCCTAGTCCCACACTAGGGTCTCTGATCCCCATTCTGGTAAAGGCACCCTGTTTGTTTGTTTGCTTGCTTGCTTGCTTGCTTGCTTGCTTGCTTGCTTGCTTGCTTTTTGAGACAAGAGTCTCACTGTGTAGCTCTGGCTGTCCTGGACCTTGCTATGTAGACCAGGCTTGCCTCGAACTCGCAGAGAATTGCCCGCCTCTACCTCCCAAATGCTGGGATTAAGTGCACCACCACACGCAGCCCTATGCACCTTTTTAAAAGTGTTAATTCCAAAGGGTAGGAAAAAGGTTTGATGAACTGATATGTGCAGAACACTTGGAGCCCGGTCAGACTCTGAGGAAATGCTCAAAAGGCTCCCTTTTCCTAGCTGTGGCTTGGGAGCCAACAGTTAAAGGGTATGTAAGGATGGACTCTAAGTGAGAACTCGGAGGCTCAGCCTGGTTCTTACCCTTCCTATGCCCAGACCCCCAAGAATCAACGAAACAACATGGATATCCCTAAGAACCATATACCCAGCAGATGGCCCTACTTTTTGCGGACAGGTACCAACACTCTAACATCTGAGGGACAGGTACAATGAGAGAACCAGGGCCCAAACAGGTGTGTTGACAGCTGAGAGGCTGTTTGGGCAGCATGGATTCTGGAAGCCAATGGAAGGCATTGCCTGTATCCAGAACTCTGAAAATTGGGGGCGATAGAATGTCTAAACAGGGCTCCAAATTTGTGACTCCACCCTGTAGAATTAAAGTTTGGTTTAAGCCATCCTCGTGAGGTTGCTGCTTTGTCCTTTGGCAGACACTGAGCGGCCACCTCAGGGACAAGCGAGGACTGAGCCCAGCCTCTCTCTAGTGCAGGGTATATATGTCCCAGGGTCCCAACTCGAATTAAAGCCCTCCAGAAAGACACAGCTTCATTTCTGAATGTGCCACTCACAAAGCAGAAGAGCAAGCTCACCAAGCCAGAAATTCCTTAGGTGTTTTTACTAATCAAAGAATATTGGGGTTTTCCCCCCATTGGCTGGGTCCATCTTCACTGTCCTCACGTTAGCTGGTTTGGTTTTGTTGTTGTTTGGTTGGTTTTGTTTTTTTGTTATATTTTTTTTTTAATCAGTGTAAAGGAACTGAAAGAAAGGGTCAGCCCTTCAAGTTACAGGACTGTAGCAAACAGGGCCTTTGAATCAACAAAAGGTTTACTAGGTTTGGGGATAAGGTGGAAAAAAATTTAAAATATTTTTTGTCAAAATCTTTTAAGGTAGAGATTTAAAATTTTGCGTAAGTCTTACAAACTGGGAGATATTAAAAGATTGAAATTGCTTGTCATAAAGAGCTTTACAGTTTTTTAATAATATTTAATGTTTCTCTCAGGATGCGGGAGGGACACAACAGGGAGCAGAACCACAGTGTACCACAACAGGCAACTCACAGGGATCTGCCTGCCTCTGCCTCCTGAGACCTGGGCTTAAAGTTGTGATCCACTATGCCCCGTTCTTTTTATTTTTTTAATTTCAAAAAAGTTTATTTTAATAAGTAATTACACATTTCAATTTGGAATAAATGTTTTGTTCATTTTTTAGGGTCCACTGGTTATGTTCCACCATATACAGGCCTCAGGTTAAATGGCATCTGTTTAATCACTGAGTTCATCTTAAAATAACCCTTCTGTCCTCCTCAGAAAAACCAAATGGCCCAAGCCCTCAGCGCCCTCGACTTCATGCAGTCTTCCATGTCTCCAAGATTCATCCAGTCAGCTGAGGCGGGCGGCTCCCAAGCGTTGCTTCTGGTCACTGTGTTTTAGTACAGGGATAGAAAAGCTAACTATTCTGACTATGGAGGGACTCTTGAGCTCTAAAGTGGCGCACTGTCTCCTTCGTTCTGACAGTCACTGTTATCACTGTGACACCTGCTAGTCAGAACCGCAGGCCCATGAATGTACCAGATCCACGACTGCCACAGAAAGCAATGACTTGCCGAATCGGAGATGAACCGTTACGGTACTATGAGAGCCAGCAGCCAACAACTCCCAGTGCGGTTTTAGATGTGCTGTCTACCACAGAAGTTCTGTTAAGACTTGTGACATGAACTCTTCTACACCTACGCACCCCAAGTGGGGCGCCAACGACAGACCAAAGTACAATTCCACACATGTTCCATTTGGCAAACCAGCGAGTTTACAGGGCCCGCATACAGGGCATGGGCGAGGGGTTACTCACAGGAGTGTGGGTGACTCAGACAGCTGTCTCACCAGCAAGGCACTGCCCAGCATGGATCCTGACTCCCCTACAGCTGAAGAGACGGAGTTCCCCATTAGGTTAACCTAACCCCCCATAGGTTAACCTTCCGCTCTCTCTATATTATAACGCCACAAGGCTGCATGTAATTAGGACAGAGTTGCATAAAGCTGGCGGGAGGAACAGGAAGGGTAGCTGAGCTCTCCTCACCCCTTCCTTCTAGGAGGGAACGCCAACAGGGCCAACCTCCAGGATCCTTTATGAATGGTCATAGCTGCTTCCCATGAAGGTGGTGATGACGGTTATGCTCGGAGGACAGCATGCTACAAGATGACCGCTTAGCTGGAGAAGATTGTTTCTGTGAACAAAGCCAGTTTGATCCCAACTTTTTTTTTTTTTTTTTTTTTTTTTTTTTGGTTTTTCGAGACAGGGTTTCTCTGTGGCTTTGGAGCCTGTCCTGGAACTAGCTCTGTAGACCAGGCTGGTCTCGAACTCACAGAGATCCGCCTGCCTCTGCCTCCCAAGTGCTAGGATTAAAGACATGCGCCACCATTGCCCGGCTTGATCCCAACTTATTAACAGCATAGAATAACTTGCTTGGTTCATAGCCTCAGCATCTTAATGATGTTAAAATTTCCATAAGGCACTGGGCTGTGGTGGTGCACACCTTTAATCCCAGCACTCAGGAGGCAGAGACAGGCGGATCTCTGTGAGTTTGGACCAGCTGGTTAACATAACAAGTTCCAGGACAGCCATGACTACAGAGAAAGAGACCCTGTCTCAAAACAAACAGTGGACTGACCCTTCCCCTATCAACTACTAGTTAAGAAAATACCCCGCAGGCTTTTCCACGGGTCAGTCTGATAGAGAGAATTCAATTGAAATTCCATCTTCCCAGATTTGTCTAGGTTTGTGTCAAGTTGACAAAACCAACCAGCACCAGTACAATTCAGTACCAGAGATGGGGGCATCGGCCAAGGAGTTACTGCAATGGTGATATAACAAAACAAGTGTCTGGACATGATGCGGGCCAGGAAGTGATCCCAAACAACTTCCGAGTCAGAGGGTCAGAGATGGAATGTGAAGGGGACTGCCACTGCACAGTGTCCATGGCTAGAGAACAACCTTGACATGGTGCCGGAAGAGATAGAGGACAGTCTGCAGGAGGAGAAAGGACAGGGGGCAAGTGTTTGGGGTATGAGGTGGTGGGTTAGGGCAATGCTGTCACCTACACTAAGACAAGAGGAGTAAACAGGGACTCTCAAATGCTCGGCCCAACATAGCCTGCAGGGTCGTGTCCACCAGTGTGTGCTGCCGAGGGTCTAATATGAACAGGAGGAATAACAAAGGGAGGCCAGGGGGCCGCTTGTTCCACTTGCAGCCCCAGCGTGGGGCGATGTAAAGTGACAGAAGCCGAGCCAGAGAGTCTGTAAAAGAGCTGGTTCTGTGTCAGATCTGGGGGATCCTCCAAACAGATGTCCAGGTCAAGCCCCCCGGAAATGCTACTGCAGGAGTCAGGTCTCTTCTTCCATCACGTGGGTTCCGAGAATCAAACATCAGGTCCCTCACTAAGTCATCTATGTGGCCCTCAGAGCCACACTTTAAAGACGACCCACAGTGAACTCCACAGCAAGGCAGGAACCCAGTCAGCTCTCCCACTGACTGTGCTGACAGATGCTGCCCAATCGCGCCCACGTGTGTTTTTATAAAAGTATTTTATTAGGTTAAAATATTCATGTGGAGAATTCAGAAAACCGACTTCTGACTATTTGCCTTGTCCTTGATTGAAGCCTTAATTACTCACACACATTCCTTCCAGTAGGATCTGAAGTCTGAGAGGCTATTAGCTTGCAATTCTTCTGTCAGTCTGTTCCTACCTGATCACAGGAAAAAGTATAGGATGGACAGTGCCCTCTTCTCAACTTATATCCTTACAAGAGTCCAAATCCACACACACACACACACACACACACACACACACACACACACACACACTGCCTCGGGCCAAAGGCTTTGTCAGCTTGGTCGGAAGACTCATGAATTCATCGCCTTTTATCTTCCACCACCAGCTTTGGGACATGCTCTGCTTTTCTATCCACGTGTGTCCTGTCACCAGCTGGAATGGACGAGCGGCGGGTTCTTCACCTAAAGCAGTTATGCCAATCACCACACTGACTCCCCAGCCTCTGTGGGCTGCCTCAAGGGCTGCTCTCGTGATCTTCATCTTGTGGGTACCTCAAAGGAGTAGTCCGTTTCCCCCCCCCCCCCACACACACACACCATGTGTCATCTCATTGAGTACTTCCTGGATGGGCTTAAACCTTCAGAGGCCCCAAATTCTTCAACCTTCAGCCCAGCTGAGAATTTATCTTTATTGATGTCAACACCGTGATCCATGCTGCACCAGCCACTTGACAGCCCATGATCACTCAATCCAATCCTCCCATCCCACCAAAGACTGCAACAGTAGACCCTTGGCAGTACCCATAGCAGCACAGCTGATCGAAATGCTGTAACCAAGGAGGCAGAACTTATCCAAAGGCCCTGAAGGCTCAATTTTAAGAACAGAGATGTCAGTCATAACTGTGTACTTGGAAAATGTGCTGGTTCCCATGAAATGAAAAAATAGACTTTCCTGGCTAGGGAGATGATTCTGTGGTTAAGAGCACTGGCTGCTCTTCCGGAAGCCCTCAGTTCAATTCCCAGCAACCACATGGTGGCTCACAACCATCTATAATGAGATCTTGTGCTCTCTTCTGGTGTGCAGGCATACATGCAGACAGAACACTATACACATAATAAATAAATTAAAAAATAAAAGCCATGGAGACAGATTTTTTAAAAAAAGAAAAACAGAGTTTCCTTTGCAGGTAAATCTGCTAGCACCATCTGGCATTAATCCTTGCCCTGAACAACTCTTGTCTTCTGGCAAAGGTTTGTTTTAGGATTCAGACAAAATTTGCATTCTCCACACTGTAAGAAGTAAATTGGGATGACCGTATCACCTGTGTTCAGCTTATAACCCCTTCACCAACGCTTTCCACAATTCTAGCATCTTCGTGTACCAAGATCACCAGGAAACACCCCTCAGGATCAGCTCCACTCGGGGTATAGGCATCCGTGTGCAAACGACAGTGTCAACTATCACAATCTGAACTTCATGAGCCTTTGGAGGTGCTGCTTCTATCTCCCCTATGGAGAGAGGTTTTCCAACCTCCAGGCGACTGAAGCCTCGCACCTGATCCACGAGTTCAGGTTCGTGTGCTGAACATCCAGAACAGCCATAGCAGAACCCGGGGTACAGGTGAGGTGTACATGAGGGGAGGGGCTCGCTCCCACATCTGTAGACTTATACACATAAATAGGTTCCATCACTATAGATTCATTTCATACTAGCAGGAGGTTAGCAAACATTCCTTATGAACAGGAACTACCGACATTGAGGCAGTGCTTGAGGGGCATAAAGCCGTGTTCTGGGGCTTATGTCCGGCAGAGCATACACAAGGCTAAGTCTAATCAAAGGAAGGACACCATGATGCCCTGCCCAGACATGGGATAATAAAGCTCTGATTGTGGGTAGAGGCAGAATTCTGTCTTGAAGGAGGGGCCTCCTGGGTCTGAGCAGTCTCTGCAACCAGCACCATACAGGAGAGACCATTAGGCCACCAGGTGGCAGCAGAGGATAGGGGAGAGGCAGGACAACGCTCAGCTGCAACTCTTCCGGGCCAACCTACCTCTGTTGGACTCTGCCTCCAACTTCAGACCTCCAGTGGCCCTGCCCCCCCCAACCCTAGAAAGCCCCCACCCCTCTAACCGCATGTGCCCAGGCTCCTCTCCTGCCTATAGGAGCAGGGTGGCCTCAGCCTACCCCTCTCCAATGCAGACTAGAACCGGGGGGGGGGGGGGCGGTGGCGGCAGGGGGAGGGTCCCAACCCCAAAGAAAGCTCTGGACCGGTCCCAGAACCTGTCGCTGCATCCTGGAGGCCACCCATGGCCTTTGGCACTCCTCTCTGTTAACTAACTGGCACTTGGTTCGCCCTCTCTGGGATGTCTTCCACTTACCCTGACTCGCTTGCCAACAGCCCCCTGATGATCCACTCAAGCCTGGCACTTCTTGGCACCTGGTGGAGCACAGTGACAGGCCTGGCCCAGTTGGTCTGACAGGTCCTGAGAGATATGGCCCGCCCCTGGGCAAGGTGCCACCTGCTAGAGCATAAAAGCCTGGTATCCCCCAAGCAGTTCTTGAGACTGTCGCCATGAAGGGGAGCGGTGCTCTGCTGGTGGTGGCTCTAACTCTGCTCTGCATCTGCGGTAAGTCTAGGCCTTCCTGACTTCTGGCACTTCCAAGGAGATGAGGGGCCCCAAGGGACCTAACCCTGGCATCAGGTGGACAAGGCCTTTCTGCATCATAGACCCCAACCGCAAAGAGCAGGGGAATCTGTTGATCTCAGTCCCAGCCCACCCCACCCTGACCTTATGCTAACCAACCACAAAGGACACCGCCACCCACCCTGGCTCAACCCAACTTGCCCAGGCCCTCCCAATCCAGCTAGCCCAGGGGAAGAAATCCCCTGCATCAGGGCACAACTGTTCTTCCCTGATGAGGTCAGGAACTCATAGAGTGGAAACCACAGCTCCCACACTAGTGGTAATGGGAAGGGTAATGGGTGGTCCCGGGAGTGATAGGAAGATGTAGGACAGACAGCGAAGGAGAGTGAGTCCCCCCCTTAGCTCTATACCCTCCCCCCCGCCGCCACGCAGGGCTGACCACCGCAGAGGATGACAATGAGTTCTTCATGGAATTCCTGCAAACGCTGCTGGTGGGAACCACCGAAGAGCTCTATGAAGGGCCCCTGGGCAAGTACAATGTCAATGATATGGCCAAGGAAGCCCTGGGAGAGCTCAAGTCCTGCATCGACGGCCTGCAGCCTGTGCATAAGGAACAACTGGTCAAGCTGCTGGTAACTGGGCCGGGACTCCCATCCCCAAATGCCCGCAGTTCTCCCGAGACCCACCCATGCCTGGTACCTGATTACCAGTCTATGCCCATCCACCCCCCAGACCTACATCAGCAAACTGATGGGGACCTCACAGAGAAGCCTCCAGAGTCCCGTAGTCCTGCTTCCCCCAAGGACTATGTCCCATATAGGCGGTGCACCTGCGCACAGCTCCCCAGAGTGCTAGGAGGGGTAGACCACAGTGTGCAAAGCCTGTCTCCTCCACTGGGGCGCACAGGCCTGTCTGCCTTGGGGACTGGTGGCTCCGGATATTGGTTACCTGTTCTCCTGGTCCCCACACACTTCTCTTTCAGGTGCAAGTGCTAGATGACAAAGAGGACACATAAGCAAGCCTGAGACACGGTTTGGCTTCTATGAATGACAGGACCAGCCCCACAAGCAGCCGTGGACGAGCCAAGACCACTGCTTCCTTATGAATCAATTCACCCTCGAACTGTTAAATCAATAAAGCCTCCTGCAGCTCGGGCACTGGCTTCTCTCTCTCCCTGCAACACAGGAACACATAAATGTCCTATTAAGGACACCCTGAGGGATACACCAAAGATGCAGACTCCTGTGTGGGGTCACTTCCCAGAAGCAATGTGTGGGAGCAGCCTCAGGGCAGCAAGTGAAACACAGGAGGAATGGGGCCTACAGTTGGGAGAAAGGCAGGCCTAGGTCAGGCTGAGGGCTCTCTGGGGCTGGTGATTCTTCACAGGGACTATGCTAAACAAATCAGGCAATAGTACAGCCAGCTGCACAGAGGCCCTGGCAGCTCTGGAAACAATCTCTCTCCCTAAAATTCGCCCCAGGAAAGAGAACCCGAGCTGAGCCAGAACTCTAAGAGGAACCTAATGAGGTCAAGAAGGGAAGCCCCGAGGGCTCGCAAGAGCCCCCGAGGGTCCTGAAAAGTGGGCTTTGCCAGCAGGACAGCTGGAAGAGCAGCGGGGTCTGAGGAGGTGTAGGAGAGAGCAGCCTCTCTAGGGAAGCCCACCATAGTCTCCAGCACAACCCCACACTCCCAGACCCCCAACAGCTAGAGTCTACCTGTCTCCCAGTTTCCCCAAACTAGCAGATTCTTGTGGGCCAATGCTAAGGGACAACCTTTAAAGAGTTAAAGAACCTGGAGAATAAGGGGGTCCCTGAAGAGGTGGGGGTGTCTCTGGAAGGGGGAGTTATCTAGAGAGGGTGGGGGACTCCTTGGAGAGACAGGAGTCCCTAAAGAGGTGGGAGTTCCTGATAGGCATGTGGTCCCTGGAGATATAAGTACCCCCAAGAGGGGAGGTCCCTGGAGAGGGCGGTGGTTCCCTAAAGACAGGGTCTCTGGAAAGGGTAAGCTCTGATGCGATGCCTCAGGCCCCGCCCATTGTCTCCATCACACACACAGTGATCTAGAACTCCTTTGTGGGACAGAGCCGCATTCTAGAGCTCAGGAACAGAGACCCCTCCCCAGTTCTCAGAAGTAGGAGAGAGAGGGAAGCTTTCTCTCCATGCTCCTTTTTAGGGAACTGCCTGGCACAGACACCAGGGGGCTAGGCCACCGGTGAGGCGGCTGGTCCCCAAGCTGCTCTAAGCCCATTCCTGCACAGAGGAGGTGAGGCCTCCCGATTGCTCCCCTCTTGCCCATGACACAGCTCAGCCAAGAAGCTCTCGACCCTTGCCAGCCATCTCTTTGCAAAGTTGCACCCAGGGTTCTCTCCCTGGTTTTGCTCCCCCAAAGCCAAGACTATAGTCAGTGCAGGGCCAGAGTGGGCAGCCCCTCTGGGCCTATGCTGAAGGCATGACTCCCATCCATATCTTGGAGCTGGGTTAAGGGTTAGCTTACCACACCAATGGGGAGCTCCCTCTGCTTGGAACTGCTTAAAGACCCTCATGTCTCCATGGGGCAAGGACTGGGCTTGCAAGATGCAGCATCAGCAGAACCAGAAATGGGGACATAAGGGCCAGGAATGAGGTGGGACAGGGCATCCCAGCACCTGGTCACCCTCTTGTCCATGGACAGAGCCAACCATGGCAGAGGAGGTATGGGTGGGCAGTTGGAGGCCCCATCGCCCCCGGGGGCCCATCATGGCCCTCTACAGCAGTCCTGGACCCAAGTACCTGATTCCACCCACCACGGGTAAGATTGCCTAAGGGCTTGGGGCTTGGTGGGGGCAGGGGAAGAAGCCAGAAATGGTGTGGCCTGGGATGGGTCTGGGCTCAATCCTTGGCTCCCCGGGAGAGAGAAGGATGTGTGTCTCCAGCAGCCCTGAGCCCCTGTGCCCACAGGCTTTGTGAAGCACACACCCACCAAACTTCGAGCACCAGCCTACAGCTTCCGTGGGGCCCCCATGCTCTTGGCGGAGAATTGCTCCCCAGGGCCCCGCTACAGTGTGAACCCCAAGATACTGAGGACTGGCAAGGACCTTGGCCCCGCCTACTCCATCCTGGGGCGCTACCATACCAAGACCATGCTGACCCCTGGCCCGGGTGAGTGACCCCTGCCTTCTGCTCCAGGCCCTAATATGGTGAAGGCCAGATAGCCTCATTCCTTCTGCTCCTGGGGACACCGTCAGGCCTGTACAGCAGAGCCTGAAACCCACCGGTCCTACTCTACCCGGAGTCCAGGGACACAGCCCACACCAGTGCTTGAAAACAGCACCGACGCCAGTATTTCTGCTGCGGACTTCCCTGGCCAAATCTGTTCAACCATGATGCTGGGACCCAGGGGCCCTGTGTCTTAACTGTTGGGACATCCTTCATGGGCACCCAAGTGTTGGGGGTGGGGTGGAGAGCCCCCAAATGCTTGTTGTTCCTGCACACCCTCCCTCCTCTCCAGGTGATTACTTTCCAGAAAAATCTACCAAGCATGTGTTCGACTCAGCACCCAGCCATTCCATTTCTGCCCGGACCAAGACCTTCCGAGTAGACAGCACCCCAGGTCTGCCGCATCCCCGCCAACGGATAGGATGGGAGCTGGGGTCCCAGCTTGGGGTGGAGGAAGGGGAGCCCCACATAGGACTTCCAAAGGTAGAGGGTATCCCAGATAGGAGGTAACGGGTCTGTCACAGCCTGAGGCTCCCCCATCACCCACAGGCCCTGCTGCATACATGTTGCCTGTGGTGATGGGGCCGCACACGGTGGGCAAGGTCTCCCAGCCCTCCTTCTCCATCAAGGGCCGCAGCAAGCTGGGCAGCTTCAGCGACGACTTGCACAAGGCAAGGGTCACCCCAACTGAGTATCAAGCTTGGCCCTAGTGACCTGTCTGATCTTCTCCCCCGAGCCCAAGAATCCCCAGACAACGACTGCCCTATTGGAGCTCTTGCATCCCCTCCACCTCTGGGGGCCTGTTACATGCTTAGGCTACATTCAGTGGTGGGAAGGGGCCAGGAGACCAACTTAGGTGATGGGATGATACTGAGAACAAGCTAAGGTGTGTGTGGTGTACTGCCTGGAGGGTAAATACTGATTTTAGACAGAGGACGTGGAAGCAAGGAAGAAGGGGAGGAGGCCTTGAGCTCCTTAGGGGAGGAAATGTCTACCTGTTTTAAGAGCCGGTGCAAAGGCCCTGGAGTAGCACTACAGGAGCTGACTTTACTAGTCCCCGACCTCTGCCCTCAAGACCAAGAGGATCCTGTCCCAACAGGAAAAAGGGCCTTGCACATACCCTCAGAGCAGTGGATACAAGACTGGCACACTGGGAATGCCACTGCCACAGTGAGGCTGAGACTGACGGGAACACCCCACCCCATGGCGGTGTTCCCATGGCTGGCAGACAGCCTAAGAGTGCCTTTGGTGAATCAAGGTCCCACACCTGACCCTATCCTCTGGGGCCAAATGCCCCAGGAAAGCCAAATCTGTCTGAGTGAGTCCTCTCTTCTTCCAGACTCCAGGTCCTGCAGCATACCATCAGACTGATGTCCAAGTGACCAAGTTCAAGGCTCCACAGTACACCATGGCTGCCCGGGTGGAGCCGCCAGGGGATAAGACCCTGAAGCCAGGACCAGGAGCCCACAGCCCTGAGAAGGTCCAGGAACCACAGGGGTCAGACAGGGGTCGGGAAATGAGCCAGAGTGTGTAGGAAGGGTCTGCACCCTGCAAGGTTGAGTGGGGACCATGCACCCTTAGGATTTTATGCATTTCCAGCAGTGGCCCTGATGGTCACCTTTCAGCTATAGGAAACCTGGGTTCTAGTCTTATCCCCAGATGCCAGTCCACTGTCCCCAGTGACAGTTAAGGTTACTGAGCATGGCATGGCCTTCACACTGGCAACCTTGGCCCCAAGTTCAGGAGGAAATGAGCCCCTCACTACAGCCCCAAGCCCAGAATGCTCCTCACAGTCTTTCCCCTTCTCCTCTTAGGTGTACTTGAACAAGCCTTGTGCCCCCGTTGTCACCTTTGGCATCAAGCATTCTGACTACATGACCCCTCTGGTTGTTGATGTGGAATAGCGCCCCCTTTTCTTCCCATCAGCCCTTGACCATGATCCTCCTTCAGAAATGTGCTGGACTGACAATGGATTGGGCACTTCACCAACGGACCCACTGCCAGCCTGGCCCTGCACCACAGGGCACGGTTTTGACAAGTTATTTTTCTCTATACTATCTCGTTTGTTAATCTTGTTTCCTGTCATGTCCAAATTATTTAATAAACCACAGATTGCCATTTGTAAGGGTTTATCTTGGAGAAAAGGCAATGCTTGTCCAGGGGGCCCTGTCTTGGCTTCCTAGCCTGGACTTCTGGAGGTCCTACAGAGAAAGTAGAAGGGCTTGGGGCTCAGAGTTCCACACGACATCCCAACTGCCCTTTGCAGGTTCTCCTCTCTACACTCGGGCTCTCTGAGAGCCAGGGATCCGGATCATGTCAGCAGTGGCCTGCAGGCTTACAAAGTGACACACTTCCAGCTCACCTCCCAGGAAGGCCTGGGCATGGCAGAACACATGGTCACTTTCACTGTGCTGCCTCAAATTCTGACCACAGGAACAATGTAAGAAGACATGATCTCGCCGGGCAATGGTGGCGCACGCCTTTAATCCCAGCACTCAGGAGGCAGAAACAGGCGGATCTCTGTGAGTTCGAGGCCAGCCTGGTCTACAAGAGCTAGTTCCAGGACAGGAACCAAAAAGCTACGGAGAAACCCTGTCTCGAAAAATCAAAAAAAAAAAAAAAAAAAAGACATGATCTCTTTACTGCTATTATATACAAATCTTAGGGGAGCTTATTTCTCATCCACAGCCAGTAGGAGGATGTGTGCAAGAGCTGGCATCTCAGCTGGGCCTGAGGACAATGACTACAGAGGCTCTCCTGGGTCCAAGGCCCAGCTTCCGAAAGCAGGGATGCAGTATCACCTCAACTTTGGGGCAGGTCCATGCAAAACAAATGGCCTTATCCAACACACCACTGGGGACCCTACCTGCACAAGCCTGTGCGTCCCAGCCAACTTGCCCTTACTCCCTTAGGTGGTAACGCTATCACCACCTTACTCTCAAACTGGCAGAGAGGGGCC